TCATTTCATGGTTGAATCAATTTAAAAAAGACCTAAAGTTAGAGATTTATCAATAGGTAATGTTGCTCCAATACCCAACCAAAGGGCTACCGCGATACCGATCAAAAAGACGGTTGTAGCTACTGGACGACGAAATGGGTTTTGGAATTTATTAACATTCTCCAAAAAAGGTACTGTCCTCTTGCCTAGGCCACACAATCACAACAATCACCAAAAATAATATAAATAACTGCTGTTACAGCAGATACAGGTCATCCAAACCTACACAACCCACCTACCTGGGTACAAGAGGATCACACAATCCACATAGAAGGAAAAAACTGCAAAAAACTTCACAGCATCCAATCGCCTCAACCACAGGTGATTTCTTTGCACATGACCAAGAAAAAAAGGAGAAAAAACTGCACAGGAACTCTATCTTAGATCAGCTGATGTACATTCTACGGTCGATCCAATAAAAAAAGGAAATCCAGGAAAAAAACTGATTGAATTGCTCTCAAGCCCAAAATCGATGCTCTGATACCATGTTTTCTTGGTAGAATGAGAGAAGAAAGAAGAGAGGAGAATTGATTGGGAGTCAAAAAGGTTTGCTGATGGCACCAGCTTTTCTATTTATATTAGGGTGACACAACATAACAATAAAAAACATAAAAAGACCAAAGTGCCCCTGCAGCACATATTACATATATATTAACAGATTTAACAATCACAATATATGTTTCCCTGAAAATCCAAGTCCACAGCTTATAGGAAGCACTTCTTTATGACTATTTATTAGTAAGATTCTAAAAGGAAGAAAGTTTAATACTACAAGAGTAAAAATTTTATGGGTTAAAACCGTTAAATACAAAGAACTTTGCAATTAAAGCTGACTTTATTTAACAAAATATCCAGGACTTGAAGAATGAAAAGAAGGTTCAGGTGAGTTTTCCACATCATCAAATAAACATATAATTTGGCTACTAGTACAAAATCAAGATTGGCAAAAATGGAACATCTCAAACAAAGTTTGTAGATTGAGTTTACATTGAGATGTACTGCAAGAGTAACCTTAAATTCCTTCTGTTCTAAATAAAGTTTTTTAATGCTACCAACTAAAAAGAAAAAATAAGTAATACTTGAAAACAATAAGAAACAGTAACATAGATAGGCATTTTAAAGTACAAATATAAAAATATAATTGAAAAATAATACCTGCAGTGCATAAGTAAGACGTATGTTTTCCTCAATTATATCTTGCCTGTAAGAGAGGGCCTTTGATGCAGCATCAACAAGGTCTTGCTGCTGCTGATCAAATGCCTGATCACAATCATTCAGTTCAAAATTTGCAAACATATTAACCCAAAAAAAGCAAAAAAGCAAGCCAAAGAAATTTCACCTACCATACGCATATAAGCGATGCGCTTTTCCAGAACATATTTTTCATTGCAAATTTGCGCTTCCTATCAATGACACATCTCATTGACTTTAATTAATATAAATCCGATCAATTAGCAAGATAAATCCACCTAGCAATACAAGAAAATCAAATATGCCTTCCTCACCTTGATGGAATATTCAGCAAGATGTTTCCTAAGCTGCAAAATCTCTTCTTCATGCTCCCGAACCTTAAAAATGAGATCCTATGTAAACTTAGCATTGGTCTATCAAACATACTACATGAAATCATATAGTTCATTTCATAATTCATACCAATAACTAAATAATACCTGCTTCCAAAGGCTGCTTGAGTTATTTAATTCAGGCATTGGCATCAGCCCTTGTCCAGGTGAGCTATACCTGGGATTATATTCTCCTTCTCTTTGATACCTACCCAACAAACTCAACAAGAGAGTGTAATAAACAAAGTTGCATGAGTTCACATGAGCTAGTTTTCCAATGTACTGTGGGTAATAGATGATACTCAAGTAATTGTTTCCCATATTTGATAAGGATACCTGCTTGGGGAAAAAGATATTGAAGGTGGAGATGCAAATTGGCCAGCATTATCTACAGCTGCCAGCCTGCCAGGAAATACCTTCACATTTCCATTTATCTTGCTGTCCTCAGAATAATGCCGGCTGTCTGCATGATTTTGTGAGGCAGGATCCTCATTTTCTGCCATTATATTTTGATGAAGAACTAGAGTACCCTGTGAGCTGAATGTGGTAGCATTATCCATACACGTATTCCTATCTTCTTGACTCCTTTCATAAATAACTGATTGATGTGCATTGTAAGGTCCATCTATATGCCCTTCCCTCTCAAAATAAGGTCCTGGAATTCTTGAATCACCTGATTTCTAATGAAATGACATTGATAAGATTTAACAAATATGTAACTTCAGGGAAAAGAAAAATCTTGATACAAGATGAAATTCCTCTAATTAATTTACAGGCTTTAGAACTAGTACATGCACARATGCTTCCACTTCCTCTTGTACAAGTAGGCTTCTACAGATAAAACATCAAATGTGTAGTCCCAATTCATGAGACACATCATGCATTATGGAGAGTTCTCTCTCCAAAGTGCTGCATTGTCATTCTCTACACTTCAATACAAGGTTTATTTTATTTACCATCAAAAAGAGGACTATGTGTTGAACTGCAAAGTCAAATTGCATTCAAAAAGTTCTAGTATTACCAATCAAAATACTAGATAAATAAGAGAACTTACAAATCTTTCAAGTTCCTGATCCTTCTTTTGAAGTTCTGTCCTCAAGCGAGTATTTTCTTCCACCTACAAAACAGTGGTGTAACTTTGATGACAAACCTTAAGGCTTAAGCAACACAAAGATATAGAACTTGCAATTTAAAGGATACACCTCATTTGGATTTTTTTGGATAAATAACATAATAGTATTAAGACCGTGGAAAAACCCAACACTGTCCAGGCTATATAGCAGGGAGAATACAAAAGCAGATGCAAGCTGAGCACTCGAAAGAAAAACCTGAAAGAAGAAAGTACAACTCAGCCCCAGGACCTGGCATTCCCCAAATACACCCTTATCTAGATATGCCAGATCTTGCCAAGCTATCAGCTAGAGAGATAGCTATCTTAGAAATCCAACTGAATAAGCAGTTTCAACTACTTCCCAAGTATCCAACTTTCCTTACCGATGCTCTAAAGCCTCCATGTAGATTCTTCTTCAGAATTTAGCAAAGAAATAACAATTTGGAAATCACTGAATCACCTCCAATGATTACATCATGCCATCTTAGATGCACCAGTAGTTTCAAACCTTGAAACAGTGACATCAACTTCACTCTCAAAGAATTGCCAAAGCCAACAGATCCAGAATAGCTTAACATTATGTTTCCTCCGCCATCACTTACCAGTTACCACCCCAGTCCCCAGCCACTCCAGATTCACCAAGGTTGCCTAAACAGTAAACAACAAACATCAAAATTAAGTTTGAACCTCCCAGACTCAGGGGGATGTCAATTAATCAACCTTGGTGAATTTCCATGAGATTCACTAGCAATGATGTGCCATCCTCTTAGAAGGTCACACACTAGCACCCAATGTGTGCAACACTTGCTTTAATCAGCTCAATTGGATTTTCCACCTCAAGCTCCCTATTCTCAAACACCCTAGCATTTCTTTTCCTCCAAATGCTCCACAAAATTTCTGCTCTAATACTTTGCCATAAAAGCTTCATTCTTTAGGCTTTACCCCAACAAATTTTGTGAAAACAACTCAATAGTATTCTGTGGAGTAGACCAAATTCTATCAAATAACGACAAGAAGTGACTCCATATTTGGCTAGAGTAATGCAGGAAAAATCATTTGCACTTTGAACTTCCCAAAATTGCTAAATTTATTTCTGGCAAAATGAGTCTCCCTTTGAACCAAGTCACTAAAACCTTGGATTGCCAAGTGTAGACTTGTAGTTTTAGTTTCCCACTAGTTAATTAACGAAGCATATCTCTGAGAGTGTCAAACCTTGTCTTCAGGTTTTTCTTATATAATGTACTTCTCAAAATATTTCAAAATGTACCCTAGTGTCTAATTGCGAGTCAAACCCAAAATTTCACCAGCAAGAGCAGAAAACTCCTCACTTTCATTATGCTTCAAAATCCAAAGAAATGTGGTTTTCACTGTCAGCTTTGCTACCAAGAATGATATAAGGCAACCCTCAACGGGCTTAATTACCAGTTGTCGAATTTCAAATTGGCAAAGTAAATAAAATTATAAAAATCAAACATCAAAAAATGATTAAAAGTATCACATGGCTTAACCCATGGATAAATGACAACATCTCTATGAATACATTGATCAAGCCCAAAGTATGGCAATTGGTGAATGAGATGGCTTGAAATAATATAATTACGCTACATTTACCATCTGGATGAAATAAAATGATTGCCAGAAATCTCTCTGCTGTTTACCCTAACAGCAAAAGTTCCCTTTCTAATATTTGCTCATTCTTTGGTGGAAAGAAAGTTATCTACTTTCTCTTCTACCCCTATTTTTTTGTCCTAGATTACCTAAAGTCCTTTCACCCTACAAGCCCAACCACCAGATCTTAAATTAGTAGGACCCCTACCCCATCCTACATCATCATTCCATCACCAGATTATAACGATTTAGACATTTAGCCAAGCTCGTCCTTGCAGCACTGCCACAGGCACCAGTTCAGTCTAGTTGAAACACCTCAGACAATTTGTTCTGAGAAAAGCCCATATGTATCCCCACCATGTTCCCCTTACCCTGAAGAGCCCCAGAACCCCCCCAAATTGCATCCATCAAAGTTTAGTTTGATGAGGCCAAGTCCCAGAGACCAAGAGAAAGGAATCTAGTTTCACTTTATTGAGCTTTTACTATTTCGCTTATTCATTTTTTATCATGTTACTGATCAATTCCAAATGGGAGTTAGGAATCTCCAATACCAGAGATGCCAGTATTACCTAGGCTGCATCCATCGAAATTCCGTTTGATATGGACATGCATAGGTGAGCTCCATAGTCCACACCATACAACAGGGAGGTCTCACTGAAGAAGATTTACCAATTGCTTGCTTATGATTTCTCTGATATTTTGTTTCTCAACTTTTTTTATTACAACTTCTAGAATTTTTCAGTATTTGGATATCAATTTAATCTATAAACTTTTTGCACATGCTATAATTTTTTCAGTCACTAGTAAGCACCATAAACTCATTTTGACCTCCTAATTTTTCAGATTTTCCTGTAGCAGCTCCATCTTACCCCTAAGACCATGTCTGGTCCTATCTCACCAAGAATATACTGTATTGAACACTTGTGTAGCCAGTATAGACCTTCTTTGGAATTGTGGCCAAACTATACCTGACCCCAACAACAACGTTCATATAAAGAAATGCAGATAATACCAGTAGGATGCAATGAAATTTGCAACCCAATTTCTCAGAGCATTTTTAAATGTCAGGCCTTTTCCGTTTATTGGTCGATTCCTGATTAATATGCTAAGCATGTCAAAGTGGACAACCAAAGCATTCAAGCCTGATGACAAATATGAAAGATGAGATGAAACTGAGAGAGAGAGGGGGGGATGAGTACTAAAACAACTGATTGTTTCATGTAGGTGCTCTAAAATGTGTATTGAAGTTTCAATGGCATCACAAAGTGCCATCAAATTTCGATTAGAAGAAGGGGAAGTCCCGACAAAGCCAAACATGAGCCAGAATCAAAATTTAAATATTTGGTGTCCAATCAATTTCTTTGTAAAATGAACAGTAACTCAAAAACATTGCTTTCAATTTGGATAAACAAGGTTAACAATCAAAAAAATTGAAGAACAAGGTTCATGTTAACTTTGTTAAGATGAGAAGTATAGCACACATCTTCCACATAGCATGCACTTGTGTAGTTGAAGGTGATCATTGTTAAACCCAAAAAAAAAAAACGAAGAAGAAGAAGAAGGTTTTGATTGAATCTGGGCAAAAGCACAAATATTAGATTGTGGAGACCATAGCAAGTGGCCGTTCCTTTCTGTTTACCTTTTCTCGCGACATGTTTTGGTCAAAGTGGAAGCTAAGACTAATTTTGTGTGCAGTGCGATTGTTTGGTTAAAAACTACAAATATTTATCCGGAGTTGGTGATTGCATGCAGGTTTTACTGCATAATAAGAACCATTCGTCACTAAATCTACCATAACAAGTATACTAAACTTCGCAGGCTAATATGAAACTTCAAATGCAACCAAAAAACAAGAGCCACGCCTGTTTGCGGATAATTCACGATATCTGCTTGAATGTTAAGCAGAACTGATATTGGCGAAAAGTAAGACAAAGCAAGGGGGATGATTGTAAAGCAACTCGACCTTATTTTCGGAAGAAATGAGATGTAGATTTAATCAAATAAGGCAAAAAATATATATTCAAAAAAATGAAGGTTGAACTAATAGAAATATCATCTCGAGCATCGAAAAGTTAACCTGTTGCTTGATGGTGATCTCAGCGGCTTCAACTGCCTTCATGATCTGAACCAAATGTTCCGTCGAAGAACCGTCGACACCCATTCCCGAGAACTTGCTAACTAAACCCCCTATTTCACTCTCCATCGCAGGGCTACACTGAGATCGAGTTTCTTCGGGGCAAGTTAATTCGCTCTTAGAACTTCCTACGTAATCTCCCATTACTATAAATGAACGAAATCCCTGTCACGAGACCAGCTCCACCGAGTCGAAGCACAGCAAATAATAGCATTGAAGGCGAGATAGACTCCAAGACGAGCTTCATGGAACTTGCAGATCGATATGAACTTCGATGACCAAAACCCTATCAACATTCAACCAAGCAGATGCGAAACGCGAATGTCAGGCCCTCGGTAGTTCCGGTGATGATCTTGATGATGCCCGCGGAAACAAATGAAAATCTATTTTTTCATTTTTTGGGGGGAGTTCAGGAGAGTTCCTCTCTCTCTCTCTCTCTCTCTCTCTTTCCCTCGTTTTCCCTTTTATTTATTTTTCCCCCGGTTCTCCTTTTCGTGAACGGGTGAGGAGGTCCGTCTTAAAGCTCGCAGTAAAATCTTGGGCAGTCAAAAAAAACAAAGAGGGTTGCCTCGTAAGTCGTAATCGGCAATTGGACATTGGCCATTTTGGCTCGTGATTGCTGGGTGTCTTGATCGTGCCAATATAGCTGTAACAATCAAGCTTTTTTCCTTAGGAAACAAAAAACCTTTGTTTTTATACAGCGGGAAATAATAAGATATACCTGTCGTACCGGCAGGAATGCATTCTTTTTGGCTGTACACTGTCGATGGCTCGTTTAAAAATCTCTGATTCAAAATGTTCCATTCCGACGACTTTACGAGGACGATAACCACGACACTGATACACGGTAATGATGCGGTTTGAAACGTGAAGTATACTTCATCGAGATATGCCACGTGGACAGTACTGTGTTGCCAAGGCATCCGAAAAAAGCTCGTGTGCATGAGCTAAAATATTGCTCTCTCGTTATTGCATCTAATGCCAGAGCCCTTTAAATGATATTCTCGTCGATGCACCACCACCATTGTAGCCAACCAGTCACCATGTGCGCGGTGTTGATTATCCAAACTTGCAAAGTGTTCAGTTGAATGTATGCTGTGATTTAATTATTGGAAGATGATAAATGTTTTCGGCATAAAATACAATTTTAATTATTTATTGATATTTATTATACATAAGTGCTATTGGTGCTATTCGACACTATTAAATGTTATCAGGACAAAATGCTCAAACAACCAGACGGTGCAAAACATTTGTACTTGATCAATTCAGCAAAATAAGAGTTTTATTTGTTAAAGTGAAAGTTGTCTGTAGCGCTCTTTTATATTTTTGCTTCATGCGACTACACAACAGGGGTAGTTCATCCCCTTTCCCTTAACCCCCCAATCCTTGGTGGCAGTGGTATTTGATCTCAGGTCTCTCTACTCGAACGAGCTACCAACTGAACCACCATCAGTTGGCATTGTCTGTAGCGCTCATGTGATGGTGAAAAAGCTCCCCAACACCTGCGCATCTGCACAACATCATGATATCAAGGACCGCCTGGGCAGTGGTGTATGGTTCCGTGAAGACAACGATTAACATTGCATATAGAGGACGGTTGGTTGTGAACTTGTGTAAAAATGTGGTATGGAACTGAATAGGGGTGTTGATGGGTCTGTTGGGTTCGGTTGCAGCCAATCAAACCAACCTGGTCGGATATTAGTCACCCAAAATTGATCAATCATTGGTGAAAATAATTATATTGATTTGAGTAAGTTTATTAGTTTGGTCAAATGTTTCAAAAGATAAGATTAATTTGCTAGGTGACAAAAACCCAAGGCCATTGGGGTTTTTAGAGCTTACGCCAATGTATAGCCCCATGAAGTGGAGACCACAGGAAAATAACAACCACATATTCAATAAATGGGGTTAAGTGCCAAAATCCCATAAATTATTTGGTTAGGTTGTGTTTGGTTTGAAAGAAAAAAAGTAGGGAAAGATAGGAAAACCTTTATAAACCTTGTATAGTTTTCCCTATCATTCCCTTCCTTTCCTTACCCCTTTTCCTTTAAACCAAGCATAGCCTTAATGATTGTAACATGTGGAATAAACCAACTCCGATAAGAGATCGACTTTCGTCAGGCAAACTGGTGCCCACCATTCCAACCACCTTTTGCAACCTTGTATCGGGGAATATCTCCCCATGAAATAAAGCACATAAGTAAATAGATATTCTCAATACAAGGCTATAAAGGCTTTGCCCTTATCGAAATCAAACTCCTCCAATAAACCATTTTTATTATAAGTGGGCTTGACGTACAAGGAACAATTTTTTTTGCCATTTATTATAACTCTATTCATCAATTTGTGAATGCTTGATTGGTGTATATCTAGTTCTACTAGCAAATGTACATTTGCTATGCACATTAGGTTCAATTTGGAAATAGTACAAATACAAATATGTACAGTATAAATACATGCAAAATAATACAAAATAGATGACTTTGCACCCTACGTATTTGTATTTTGCACTCCTTCCAAACTGAACCTTTGGGAAGAGTACAAATATAGGTTTAGCAATACCAATGCAGGGTTTTGCATCATATGTATTTGTTTTTGCACTTCTTTCAAATAGATCCTTGTAATTTTAGATGATAATAGTAATACTGTCTCAATAATTTTTTACAATTTGTTTATATTTCTACATAAAAACCACTCTTATTTATCACACTTTTTTGTTTGATATGGTGTGTATATGTGTTTATGCAATTTCTTGTATTTTTTCATGTTTTATTTTTTTATTTATAATATTTAATTAAGATATAAAAGGGTTGACACATATGATATAAAGGTCGAACCATTGACCCACCACTTAGTGGAAGAATTGTTTCATTTTTTAGCATATTTTTCAAAGCATGGATTTTGTATTGTTAAAAACAATGGATGTGAATCCAATTAGTATAATTTATTTGTGACAAAAAATTAAACATGTGATTAAATGAGAGAGAGTTGTTGGATAGATAGATAAAGGTGGGGGAGAGAGAATAACAAATATGGATTGGTCCAAAGTTGTCATGTGCCTATACTAGTTGAGTTGCATGTAAAGGTGCAATTGAGTAGACTAGCTGAATCGACCCGAACTTTTGTATGTCTTGGCTCGATTCAACTAAATATTCGATGAGCTCGAGTTTGGTTCGAAATGTTGAAAAGGAATATACTTTTATAATATACATTATAATATATGGTATGTTTTTATATTATATACAGGGTATAAAAATATATTTTCATAATCTATATATTATAAAGTATATTTTATATTATATGTATGTATGTATATTTTTATATTATATATGGTATGTTTTTATAGTTTTATAAAGGGTATATATATATGTATATATGTATGTATGTATATGAATACATGCATGCATGTATATAATTTCTCCCTTCTCCGATTAATTCCATTATGTCATCTTAAATTTATTTTGGCACCCTTAATAGAGCAAAGGTGTAAATTAGATAGGTTGGTTGGGTTAAGTCTCAACCCAAGACCAACCATAAACATGGACTCTATCTTAACTCAAACGGATGTCAAAACCCATATTTATCAATCTAGATCTAACCAAATATGCGTGGTTATTTGTTTATAAATAAATAACCCAATTTATGTATMTACTCTCCCATTTATTATTTGTGGTAATTTATTTATAAATTAAACCATTAAAAAAAATATAAGAAGTCATAATGAAACCACTCCTCTCCAATAGTCAATGTTTGTAACATTTCCCTTATTTGCCAATGTGATTTTAGTTCCCATTGACCAAGAATCCCATGTTTTTTTTTTTCAGCTGTATGTGGGGACCAGGGAAAGTTTGTTTTCTTGGGTATCACTTACCCAGAAAAGTGATACCCATCTCCTAGGTGGGTAAATAACTTTCCCACATCAGGGAAAGTTGCCAACACTTGAATGGGACAAAAATGTCCCTTTTAATAATGGATTTATATGGCTAAAATGGTCATTGCCTTGTTTACCTGAGAAATAAAAGAACATGGGTAAATATATCTACCTAGGTAAGTGTTTCCCAAGAAAAACTTACCCAGGTAAATACATTGCCTCATTTTGAATATTGAGTACAAATTAGACGAATTTGATCAAAACAATCTTAAACGTTAACTTGTAACTAGATTGATGTAAAATCCCAAATTTGCCAATCCAAACATAACAAGGTATTTTTTCCATTCAACCCAAGGTTCGAAATATCGATACGGCGTATCGGGTGAATCAATACAACTTTTGATGCCTTTTTTTTCGCAACTAGTTCAAGGGGCCGGCTTAGGGCTCCTTCATCCCTTGAACCGGTCAAACCCCCAATACACCCACTATAGGGGTGTATCAGAGGGGTCCCGGAACGATACGTATCAGCCGATAGTGGCCAATATGTGTCGATACTTTGAACCTTGATTCAACCTAGGGGTGATCATGGGCCGGGCAAACATTACATATCTATTATTTTTATATTAAATGACATAACATGCATATAAACTTATTTTATACATTATATAATATAAAATATTACATATAATATAAATTATATATGTCATGTTATAATATTTATATATAAAATATAATATAATGTAAAATAACTTGTATACATTATACACAAAATGTGTAAGTTTAAATATATGCGGGTTGGGCCTAGGTCGAGCTTGAAGCATTAAACCCAATCCCGGCCCTAAAATTTGCAGGCCTGATGTGGGCTTGGGCTTTGGTCGGGTTTGAACACAAAACCCAGACCCAAGCACGGAATTTCGGGGCCGGGCCGAGCTTACATGATCACCCCTATTCAACCCCATGCAATCCATGAATTAATTGTTATAGTACACCTTAAAATGCAATCACCCGACGTAAAGAAAGTGAGACAGTTTTTATAAAAAAATGCTTGATTAACAAAAGGACAAAGATATATAAGGATGTTGATTGATAATCTCACAATCGATAAGTGGTTGTAGAATTTGCTACCAGCCTACTATCAAACAACATAGGTTTGCATATATAGCTTACAAACCCTATATAACTTGTTAGGCTAAGAATACACAAATAGTGATGTCAGCTTGTGGGTTTAATGTGACTACATGATGATATATAACCTATTTTGACCCAATCCTTTTGGACCATGGGTTCGTCATGTTTGGGGCTTTCCCACACTGAACTCAACCAGTTGACATGGTGACGTTGAAAAAATAGTAATATATCATTCACTAATAACGGTGGTACTGTTCATGTTCATTTTTTTGAGTGCCTTGTGGGTCTGATTCTTCTTGATAAAAAAAATGTGATTAGGGGTGACCACGAGTCGAGCTTTTCATAAGCTACTTGAGCTCGGTTTGGTTCCAATTGAGCTTCGAGCCAACTTCGAATAGTTACATATAATAATAATATATTATTATTATAAAATAAAAATATTATAGATATAA